GGGGGGGGGGGGGGGGGGGGGGGGGGGGGGGGGGGGGGGGGGAGGGCGCAAAACGCCGCCAGTGCATACGTTATTGGTGCTACGCAAGAGCATCACGACACGAGCCTGGGGGAGAGGGAGTGAAAGAAACAGATCCTTCGCGCGTGGCGAGCTGAAGTCACTTTATTCTTTGCGCTCAATGTGCTCGTGTGCTTCACGAAACAGCCGGGGGTTATATTTGTTTAGTTGTAATGTCACTGGTCCCATTGCTTCGAGGACTTCGTTCTGTTGCGACCCGTTGGATTTTTCGCGCTCTTCCTATCGCACGTCTGGTTTGGTACATCAAACGCGAGGATGATGACCAGCTTCTGGTTCATCCTTGTAAAGCGTAGACTATAGCCTGGGTCGGCGAAAACCCGGCATGGCTCTCCGTCCCGGCATTGTAAAGACTACGACTGAACGACATGCGTTGAAACCAGTACCCCCAACTTGGTACCCCCCTTCCTTTTCTTCGGGGAAAAAAAAATCCGCCCACGGTGCCTACTAGACTACTACTGCAAAGCAGTACAGTTATCCAGTTCCCCCCAGGCTATAGACAATAGTCTACATCATAAAAGTTTGGACGATGTGTATATCTACCCCGGCCTAACTGTTTTCTGGGGTTAGGAGGGCTCGACGGGGCGACTCAGTTTTGAGTAGACTACAACCTCTTTTGGATGTTTGGCATAGTGTTAATTGGTTTCTTTATCGCTTCGACAAGCTTTGTGTGCCATTCAAAACTGAGGCAAGTTGACACCCGTCGCTCACCTCGATTCTTTCCCCCACGACCTGCAGGCAGTGCAGGCAACGCTCTAAGAACGCCATCTTCTCTAGCTGCTTGTCGTTCATGTCGGGAATTCGACTTCGCATTGTCTGCTTACACCTGACGAACCGGTGGGTAAACCCGAAAGAGTCGAAAAAGAGAATGTATGTAGGTTACTGGAAGGGAGTTACAGTACATTTATTTGCACACCTTTCTCGTTGACCCCCCCCCCCCCCCCCCCCCCCCCCCCCCCCCCCCCCCCCCCCCCCCCCCCCCCC